CGGCCCCGCTCTCCCGGGCGGGGGGGCCCTGCCCGCGCGGGGGAGGGGGGAAGGGGGAGGCACACCGGCCATTTTAAGCTGCCGTTTATTTAGGCGATCCCTGGGGCTGCGGTAACCTCCATCCCGAGCGCAGCGGGCATGAAGCTTGGGGAAGCTGCAGCTCAATAAAGCAGAAGCCGAAACTAAAGGTTTCTGGAAGCTGCAGTTCTCGTCCCAAAATGGTGAACTCTGCCAGCTATTGCAGAACAGCCCTGCCTCACGTGCTGCTGTCTCCAGTTACTTGGTTGTCGGCCTCTGCTAACCAGTTAACTCTTCACGGCTAGAGAGCCTGTACTTTGTCTGTTTTGATTTAGAATCTTTATTTAAAAAAGCAACATGTATACACAAAGTGGGTAGTTTTTTTTTTTTAAAGCATCCATTTTTTAACTGCACAAAGAATTCTGCCATTTTGTTTTGCACAAGCAAAAATAAGTACATGTTTTGCATATCTAACTTCAGGAAAATACCTAAGGTATACAGACAAAACATTCAGTTAAATTGCCTAAGCATGTAGCATTCTTTGATTAAAGTTCCTGCACTCCTGTGACCGGTCGCTTGAACTTATCTTCAGATCCTTACAAAGTCAGAAAAGACTTGACCTGTGAAAACAAACAAGATAAAGTCATTTCTAATGAATTACTGTTTTATCAGTAGATTGTAGACTTTTTTTCTTTCTGCACTTAAGGGACACTTAAGGCTTTCAACATGGCTTTGCTGGTACACAGCTCAGCTGCCTTGCAGCAAAGCAAATGGCTGCCGATGAGTGGGTTGGTGGTAGGCGGGGTTGGGTAGCAAGAAAGAATGTACTGAGGAAGGAGAAAACAGCCATGCGCTGTTGAAGATAAAGTAGCACTCAAGAAATAGTTCTTCTCAGGAAAGGAAGGGATTTTCCAAGAACTGAACAAAAGTCTAGTAGTGTTTCCAACATAGTGAAAATACCCTCTGCTGTGACCTCTCCTTATCCTGTCATTTGGGTGCAGACAATACTGATGGCTTCTCAGTGATGGTGAGAAGATAAGTTGTGTGGGCGTAGTTTGTTCTTAGCTGTGTAAGCTGCTATTTGCACCTTTTCATAAGGATAGAGCTTGTTAGCAAATGCCTTGATACTTTGACATTTGATATTTTGTCTCCCTCTCCAGTTTGCCCTCTATCAGACCTACAGGCTACTAGGCACTCCTTTTGAATCATAAAGAGCAATCTTGGGTTGTTAGGAGGAGGTTAATGACCTGCTGAGTGATATATCCTAGTTCTGTGCTTAGAGAGCTAGGGCTGAACCTGAAATCACTGCAGCACCTTGCACATCTACTTGCTAAGGCTCCTGTCTCTTCAGGCAGAATTGGCAAACACCATTTTGTTTCATGTGACCCATTCACTGTAATCTTGTTTCCTCTAATGGCTGTTTGCTTTTCCAGCTCAGCCTTGCATTGTGTGCTGAGAACTGCTGTTAGAACTCAGTTATCTTCACGCTTGTCAATGTGGCTTTATACTCTGCCAAGGGATAGTCTAGGTCCATAGAACAGGAGGGTGTGTAAAAGCTCAGACTATAGTGAGTGTGGTGCTTTTTTCCTTCCCCTGAAAGAATCATGGCTGACATGAGTCAGGGTGCAGTTCTGTGAAGTATTTACTGACCACTACAGCAGTGTGGCCTTGGCTGAGAGCAGTCTGACCAGTTCAGCTGCTATGTGCTGTCTCCCCCACAACTGCCCCCTTGAGAGAAGAAGGAAAAAAGAACCCAAAACTGAATGGTTGTGAGAATGATGAGGTTGGCTTGAGCTATCTTTTATAGCTATGTGACCTCCTAACTCTGTATAAAGGAGACTTTAACTGTGCTATTGCCAAACATTACTGCATGATGACTAAATGGAACTTGATGGAGGAGGAGAAGAAGAAGAAGGAAAAAAGAACCCAAAACTGAATGGCTCTAAGTGAGAATGATGAGGTGGGCTTGAGCTATCTTTGATAGCTATGTGACCTCCTAACTCTCTATAAAGGAGACTTTAACTGTGCTATTGCCAAACATTACTGCATGATGACTAAATGGAACTTGATGCATTAATGCAAATGACATTTTTTTAAATAAATTGAAGGCTTAGAGTTTTTTTTTTTTTAAAAAGGCATCTGAGAGCCTTATTCAATGCTTACCTTATCAATCAGGTATTCCTGCTTAATTTTATCATTCTTAAAATCTTCATTAACATCCAAAACTAGAATAGGAATTTCTTTAAGGTTCTCAAAATCAACTCTGTTGAAGGAAAAAAAACATTGTAGTAAAAAGAGTATAAAAATACATTGTAGCTCTCCCAAGCTTCTTTCAAGTCATTCTAAGGCTACAGCATTACTCAGTCTAGTATAAATCCCTAATTAAGTCTGCCCTTAATTGCTCTGGTATAACCAGTGAACATTATCAGCATAACTTAAATGTGTATCAGAAATCTAGCCCTTTTCTATTTAGCAGAATCTATTGTCCATGAAAAGCACTTTAGCAGATCAGGCATTTCTGGAGATAGGACTTGACACAAATCAGGAAATAATATTCCATTCTGGACTTGTGAGCAAATACTGTAAACATTCTCTAAATTCCACACCATGCAGTCCATCCTGAGCATCTGGCTTATCCTGTATTAAATGTATGTGTAGGAGAGCAGAAGTGACTGTATGACCTAATGTATTCTTCCTAGAATTGTTATGAGTCTGTTAGTTTATCTGGAAACAGCCTCTTGTTTCAGCTGAAAAGGCCTGTCCACCAAGCCCAGAAACACATC